TGGAAGGGGAGCTGTTGCATTGTGGTAAACTGTGGTCAATGACATGAGACAAAGTATATGTGAACTGCTGTATGGAAAGTGAATTTGCTCTGTAAACCTTCACCCAAAACACAATAAATAATAATAAAAAAAAAAATTCTGATAGAAAATTATTTTTCAATCTAGTATTCTATATCAACAAAAACAATCTACCAAAAGTAAGTGGAAAACAAAGCCACTTCAAACATGCAAGAGTTCACCTCTTGCACACTTTATCTGAGGAGGAAGCTGAAGACAGACTCTAGCAAAATGAGAAAGTTAATTGAGAAACAGGAAGATGTGGACTCCAGGAAAAAGTAGACCCAACCCAGCAAAGAAATAAAGTCTTCAAATGAAACTTGTGCAGCAGGCAGAGAAAGCAAAGTGCTCAGATTGGAATGGGAAGAAAAATTTTGGAAAAATTAAAAACCTGATGATTAAGGCTTACCCAAGTGTGGAGAAACAGGTACTCAAAGACCCTGTTGTTGGGATATCATTTGGCAAAGCTTTCTGGAGGCCAGGGTATGGTAGCACCTGTCAGTAATTCCACTACCAGAACTCTATCCCTACAAAATTACTTATATGTGATGCAGCATACAGTACCTGAGAGCATGAACTCTGGAGTGAGATTGCCTGTGTTCAAATTCTAGCTTTGCCATTTGCAAGCTCTATGATCTCCATTCTTTGTTTGCAAAATGGAAACAACTTCTCAAAAGGTTGTGAGGATTTAATAAGAGGTTCATTGTGGAGGGCTTAGCACAATGCCCAGTAAACAATACTCAGGTTTTTAGAAGACGTTTATTTGTATATGGAGATATATGTTTATACATATAGAAACCAAGGACTAAAAGGAAAAAAAAAAATACCAAAATATTTGGAGAGTGGAAGAAGAGGGGTTTATTTTTGTGTAAAATTGTTATTATAAGTAATATAAGATGTTTTATCCTTTACAGAAAGGGAAAAGTAAAGAGCACTATAAATCTTCATAAGCACACTCAAACTCTGTATATATTAAAAAAAAACGAACTTTTATTTTAATTTACTATACATATTTAAACTGTAGGAAGTTTCTAGGTAGATGCACTTTCCTCTGTAGGTTTGGTTTGATCTTCAGTTACCTGTAAAAACATAACAGCTTTACTTTTTGAATAAATACTTTCAGTTTCACCCTTCACCCATTTTAAATTCCTCCACAGTTTCTCTTTTAAGGACCTTTTGCCTTTCTCCTTCAATAGTAATTATTGTAGAAAGTTTCATAGGAAGAGAAGGCCACGTTACCAATATAAATTAAAAAGTACAATGATCCTTTCAAAATATAATCTGAGGCTTATTAAATCTAGTCTTCTCGAGACTTATATTTCAACTATAAAACAAAATCATTAGTGTATATATATATATAAACCCTAGAAATACTACAAGTTATTTTAAATCAACCTATTTTGTTGGAAGATAGAATTCTATTTTAGGTATAGTATATTACAAATAAGTATCATACGTTCATATTCGTACCGTATGTCACTCAGACATATCAAACAAACAAGACTAAAGCTGAATTTCTTGTTACCCCAAAACCTGACCCAGCTCCTGCATTCTCTACCTCAAGAAAGGGTTCTTCCAGCTGCCCAAACCTAGCTTTTGAGATTCTACTCTCCTCTCACCTGCATAAGATCAACAGTCCAATTAATTCTGCCTAAGAAACTCTCACAGCTATTCTCAATGCCATGACTGAACTTTAGGACCTTATCATTTTATACCCCCATAAAATGCTCCTGGCTTAACTTACAGCTATCTTCCACACTGCCCCCCCAAACAAACTTTTAAATAGGAATAGCTGATCCTGTCACCTTCCTATTCAAAATTCTTCTGTTACCCCCACCCCCCACCCCCCAATCTTCTTTACGGGAGGGAAAATGCAAACTGTCAGCATGGAAGACAAGTCCTTCATCCTCTATTTCCAACACATTTCTTTGGACTCAATGCCATCCTACATGTGACCTATAAATTCAGATTTTTCTTATATTTACCATGTTCTCCATTCCTCCATACTTCTTATCAAGTGAGTTCCTTTGCCCCAGCAAATTATCTTCCTGGCCCATTTTTATTCATCTTTTAAAACGAATGTAAAAGACACCAATTCTTGGAACCTTCCTTAACCAAATTTCCTGCTTGGTTTAGGCCCTTCTCTTGTGTATTCCAGAACCCCACGTGTATATCTAAACTGTCTACCTGTAAGTCTAGTTATCCTATCAAAGTAACTTCCTTCAGGGCAGCAAGTATATTTTGTTCATTTTTGTACCTCTAAACAACACAGTATCTGGCACCTAAAAAATACTCAATAAGTCTGTTAACTGAATCAATGAACCATGTATTCAGCCTATTCCTTCTGCGTAAGCAAAATGGACAGTGGAAAAAGACAACTAAACCAGAAAAAATGTTTCAAAAACAGCTAGTTACTGATTTCTAGTAGATTTTCTAGGTTACTGCCACTACTATTTTTCTGCACTTTTTCTTCCATTAAAATGTGCAAGTATCATTTATTGCTTCCTGTGTTTCCCAACCAATTTCTTAGGTATTCATTTTTTCTTGTTTCTTAATCTAATATAATCATTGTTCAATTTCAAAAAAGACAATACTGTATGATCTCACTTTCATAAAAAGTCGAGAATAAGTATACACAGAAAGCAATGTTCTTTGATGATTCCCAGGGATGAGAGGGGAAAGAAGGTGGAATTACTTTCTAGATAATTGTTGTTGTTGTTGTTATGTGCCATCAAGTAGGCCCCGACTCATAGCGACCCCTCTTTGGGTTTCTGAGGCAGTATCACTTCGGAAGTAGGATTGCCCAAACTTCCTTCCGAGGAGTGGCTGGTGGGTTTGAACCCCCAGCCTTCTGGTTAGCAGTCAAGTGCTTTAGCCACTATGCTACCAGAGCTCCTTTCTAGATAATAGACATTTGTTATTTTTGGTCATAGGAAAGACAATACCCAATATGGGTGAAGTCTGCACAACTGATCAAGCCAAATGAAGATAATAAGAAGGGGCAATTTTGGTAAATGCTGAACATACACAATTTTATAACAACAGTAATAATAACCAAAAAATATATGAGTGGGTTACACAGGTACATCATATATATGTATATATGTATATATATATGTATATATGTATATATGTATATATATATGTATGTATATACACACACACATGTATGTGTATAGGAAGGCATATGTGAGTACATGTGTGTGCACATATAGGTATATCTGTAGGCATATGTATATATGTGTGTGAGTGTGCTGCATGTATATTCATATATATAATAAAGCACATAACAGCCACAGTTACAGAGATTTCTTATACATATCCAGATATTCCATGGAATTGGTTTTCTGGGTTAAAAACGCTTAGGACCATAATTTCATGAGATAATTCAGTCAATTGGCATAACAAGCTCATAAAGATAATGTTCTATATCTTAGTTTGGTGAGCAGATTCCGGGGTCTTAAAACTTTGTGAGGTTAAAAAAAAAAAAAAAAAGCTTGTGAATATCCACTCATCTGGAACAAAAGAGAAAGAAGGAAAACAGAAACTCAAAGAAGGAACTAGCCCATAGGCCTAACATTAACAGCCCACTTCTGGCCTCTTCTAGCCTGAGATCAGAGCTAGATGGTGCCCAGCTACCACTACCACCCATTCTGACAAGGAGCACAATCACAGTAGCAAGTCCAGGAAAGAATGGGGGGAAAAATATAGAACAAAATTCAAATTCCTAAAAAAGCCCAGACTTACTGGACCAAGAGAGACTATAAGAACCCTCAAGACTATCACCCTAAGATACTCTTTGAACTTGGAACTGAAGCTACTGCCAGAGGTAACCTTTCAGCCAAATAATAGATCGGCTTATAAATAAACAATATTGCTGTTGTTGTTACGTGCCGTCAAGTCGGACCCGACTCATAGCAACCCCTCCTTGAGTTTCCGAGGCAGTATCACTACAGAAGTAGGTTGCCCAACCTTCCTTCCGAGGAGTGGCTGGTGGGTTTGAACCGCCAGCCTTCTGGTTAACAGTCAAGTGCCTTAGGCACTACACTACCAGGGCTCCTATAAACAATATTACTGATGAGTAATGTGCTCCCCTGAACAATCAATTAACAATCCCTTGAACAAACGGTCAGCATTCACCCAAAAGCAAAGATGAGAATGCAAGGAGGGGCACGGAAACTAGATCTATGGAAACAAAACAAACAGAATGGAAATGATAAGAATGTTCACACTGTGAAAACTGTAACCAATGTCAAGGAATAACTATATAAACATTGACCAAAAACGCAATAAAGTGTTACAAATAAATAAAATGATCATTGTGACCAATCAAAGAGACAAAGTTATTCTATCCATTCAAATACACTCTCTTCCTATAAGATATGGAAAATTACATAACCTTTACACAAGAACATTAGGTTTCCTAAAACAATAAATTCTATTTGTAAATTTACTTATGCCTAGTTTTACATATCATTATGAAAATAATAACAATTTATTTGGTAACCTCTATAATTTAAAGGCTCAAACCCATCAACCATTCCTTGGACAATCTACTTCCATAGTGATACCGCCTCGGAAACCCAAGGAGGGGTCGCTATGAGTCAAATCCAACTCGATGGCAGTGAGTTTGGTTTTGGTTTGGTTTATTATTTGCCATAGTGCCTAAGGTATCTGATTGCTAACCAGAAGGCTGGTGGTTCAAACCCACCAGCCACTCCTTGGAAGGAAGATTGGGCAATCCTCAGACACCCAAGGAGGGATCGGTGAGTCGGATCCAATGACAGCAATGAGTTTGGTTGTTTTGGTTTTGTGTTCAAAATTAAGAGTTCAACAAATACAATAAACTCTGAATAAAGTAGCTGACTGAATATAAATGTACTAGCAAAGAAAACAACATAAGGTATGTATCAAGCAATAAATTATATGATTGGATAATATTTGTTAAGAGATTACTCTGAGAATATTTCATGGAGAAGGTGAAAGTAGGGCAAAGTATTAAGAATGAATAAGGTATAGATAAGCAGACATAATGAAGGAGCGCATGGGAAAGGCAGCTAGACAGAACTATATGAAGAAATAAACAAACCTGAAAATAACTTTGATGGGTACTGATTAGTGTGCTTGCAAACTTGACCAGAATGTTTGTGGAGTAGTGGTAGGAAGGTAGGAAGGGCTCATGAGGCCAGATTACACTAGACAACTATCAGGTAATTTACATAAAAGATGAACATTTAGAACATGAAGTAGTGAATAGGGATAGTTGTAGTCGAGAAATATAATCCTTTCTACTTGTGAAATCTAAGTAGTAATGACACAGAATAAGCATAAAACATATGATTTGAATTTGGTTTTTCAGAATATTTGTACATTTAACATATCAACACCTAAGTCAACTTTAAAGTACACCTGACAAATCTTAATCCTTTAAATGCTCATTAGATTTATAAAAAAAAAAAAATAATAACATATGACCTAATTAACACCATTACAACCATTAAGAACTTTTACTACCATATGGATATATCTTCTTTCTCTTCAAATTCTACAGTATTTCCATGATATTAACAAATAAAATCAAAAGAGAATTTCCAAACTAAAACTTCCTTTCTGCCGAAATATTGCTGGGGTAAACAATCAGAACACTGATTTGGCAAATGAGACAATTAATTTATTTCCTTTTCTTTGTACATTGTTGCTTAATTTCAATGAAAATTTCTTCAGAGAAGAGTATTCATTAGTAGTCCAAGACACTTACCAATTTCCGTGATCTTTCCAATAGCTTATTCCATATTGTAAAATGTGCCTTAAAAAGAAAGATTTACTAAGAATTAAACAAAGCAATAATGTTAAATAAAAGGGACTGAGTCTTCATATAGGGTTTAGACAAAACAAATAAAAAGAGGCAGTATTTATGTGACTAAATGGTTACAAAAGAGGGTCAAAGTAAAGAAAAAGTGTGACAAGGTTTCTATACTTCACTTAAGCTGGTAAAATTTCAGTATCAGTAGACTGTGTTAAGTTATGAGTATAAAATGTACCTGGAGCAATAAAAAAAAAAGATACAGACAAAGAGATATACCCAAAAATACTATAAATAAATAAAAATGGAATTCTAACAAAATGTTCACAAAACCAATAGGAAGAAGAAAACAGGTAAACAAAAGAGAGAAAGAACAAACAGAAAACAAAAAATGAAATGGCAATCTTAAGTCCTAATATCAACAATTACATCAAATGTAAATGGCCTAAGTACAGAAATTAAAAGAAAGAGATTGGCATATATGACACAATTATAAGACATCTAAAATTCACTTCAAATAATTAATATAAGTATGTTGAAAGTAAAAGGATGGGAAATGATACTTCATGCAAACAAAAACAGCAGTTATTGCATTAGTATCAATAAAGTAGACTTCAAAGCAAAGCAAACCACCAGAGATAGTGTCATAATGGCAAAAGGGTTAATCCACCAATAAAATACAGCAATCCTAAATGTTAATGTAACAAACAACAGAGCTATACACTATGTAAAGCAAAAACTCACAGAACTAAAAGGAGAAACTGATAAAATCACAATTATAGTTGGAAACTTTGACCCCTCTCTCAACAACTGATGGAACAATTAAACAGAAAACCATCAAGGATGTAGAAGAACTCAATGGCACCATCAACCAACAGAATGGAACTGAACATTTAACCCAACAACATAATTAGAATACACACTTTTCAAGCACCAATAGAACATATATAAGATACATCACATCCTGGACCATAAAAAAAACTTAACACATTTAAAAGAACTGAAATCATACAAAGCATAGTTTCTGACCACAAAGGAACTGTGGTAGCTAATGTTGTGTCAACTTGGCCGGGTCTGGTTTTGAGTGGCTGGGCAGCTAGATGTAGTTATTCCCCCATTCTGGCAATCAACTCCATGGTGGAATCTATTGGAGCACCTGAGTAGCTACTTTAGCGATGTGGTCTGCTTCCAGTACATAAGGAGCAACTAGTTAAGTCATTGTTCAGCAGCCTGCCATGCCCTGCCAATCTTGGGACTTTTTCTGGACTTGAATTAGTGGCCTGCCATGTTGTTTGGTAATAAAGGGACTGTGCCTTTTTCTTTGTTGACCATGGGTTTTTCAGCCTCAGCAGCCAGCAGCTATCTGAGTGAAGAAAAGCCTCCAACTTCAACCGGCTGGGCGCAGAAGGCAGAGCTGAAGCCCCTAGAGCCTAGCACTTTGAACTCAGACTTCTAGCCTCCAAAACTGCAAGAGAATAAACTCCTATTTGTTCAACCACTCCAATTGTGTGTATTTCTGTTAAAGTAGCAACAGAAGTAATCAAAACAGGAATCAAACTAGAATAAGAAAAAGAATGAAAATCTACAAAAATTAATAAAATACTTCTTTAAAAATCCATCAAACAAAGAGGCAACCTCAAGAGAAATCTTAAAATATATCAGATTGAACAAAAATGAAAATATGACATCAAAATCTGTGCAACAGCTAAAGCAGCACTGAAAGAGAAATTTACAACACTAAATGCTTAAATGAGAAACAAAGAAAGGTCTCAATATCAACAGCCTAAGCTCCCATTTCAAGAAGCTAGAAAAAGAAGAGCAAAACTAACCTAAAGCAAGCAGAAGGAAGGCAATAATAAAGATAACAGCAAAAAATCAATGAAATTGAAACAGAAAAAAAATTAATAAAACCAAAAGCTGGTTCTTTGAAAATATCAATAAAATTGACAAACCTCTGAGCAAAACTAACAAAGAAATAAAGAGAGAAGACTTAAACCTCATACCTTCTATAAAAATTAACTCAAGGTGAATCACTGACTTAAATGTAAAATACAAAACTTTTAGAAAAAACAAAGGAGAAAAATCTTTGGGAAGTAGGGCTAGGTAAAGAATTCATCAAACATGATCCATAAAAGGAAATATAAACTACATCCATCAATATAAACTGGACTTCATCAAAATTAACACTTCTGCGCTGCAAGATTCTGTTCAGGGGACGAAAAGATAAGCTACAGTCTCGGATAAAATATTTGCAAACCACATATCCAACAAAGGATATTATGTAGACTATATAAAATCACTCTCAAACTCAACAGTAAAAAAGCAAGCAATCCAAGTATAACATGGACAAACCACAAGAACATACTGTTAACCAAAGAATATATATTGTTGTTGTGTGCTGTTAAGTCAATGTGAACTCATAGTGACCTTATAGGACAGACCAAACCTGCCCCCACAGGGTTTCCTAGGCTGTGATCTTTAAGAGAACAGATCACCAAGGTCTTTTCTCCAGCTGAGTCACAGGTGGGTTCAAACTGATGACCTTTAGGTTAGTGGTTGAGCATTTAACAGTATCTTTAAGAAGATATACATGGCAAAGAAGCACATGAAAAGATGTTCAACATCATTAGCCAACATAAGGAAATGCAAATTAAAACCAGAATGAGAAATCACTATGCACCTATCAGAATAGCTAAAATAGGAAACAGTGATAATACCAAAAGCATTAAGGGTGGAAATATAAAATAGTATAGCCACTTTAGAAAACTGTGGTAGTTTCTTAAATAACTAAACATGAACTCACCATGAACCCAGAAATTGTACTTCAGCATTTAACCCAAAGAAGTAAAAATTTACATTAATAAAAACCTGTACAAAAATGTTCATAACAGCTTTATTCATAATAGTTGAAAAACTGAAATAACCCAGATGTCCTTCAATATGTGAATATTTAAACAAATTGTGGTACATTCACACCAAGGGATATTGCTCAACAATAAAAAGGAATAAACTATAACACATACAAACAACTTGGCTGATTGTCCAGAGAATTATCCTGAGCAGGGGAAGAAAAAAAATCCAATCCCAAAAGATTATATACATGATTCTATTCATATAACATGACTGAAATGACAAAGTTACAGAAATGAAGAACAGATTAGTGGTTGCCAGGGATAGAGATGAAGGGTAGGGGTAGGCAAAAGTAGAAGATGTGGCTATAAAAGAAATCCTGCGGAGATGGAATTGTTCTGCATCTTCACTGTATTAATGTCCATACCCTGGTTATGATATCGTACACAATGCAGTACTGTTTTGCAAGATGTTACCATTAGGGAAACTTGGAAAAGGTACACAGGATTTCTCTGTATTAGTTCTTATAACTGCATGTGGTTGCTGCTGCTGTTATGTGCCATGGAGTCAGATACGACTCATAGTTACCCTTCCTTGGGTTTCCAAGGCAGTATTATTACGGAAGTAGATTGCCCAACCTTCCTTCCGAGGAGTGGCTGGTGGGTTTGAACCGCCAGCCTTATGGTTAGCAGTCAAGTGCCTTAGGCACTATGAATCCATAATTATCTCAAATTATTTTTTTTTTAAATAAGCATTAGCAAGAAGTAGGAGCAAAGTAGACCCTGACAGACACTGGGTCATGAAGAGATCATTAAAACTAGAGAGACAAGCATGCTGAACATAAGGCCAAAAGGCATGCCACAGGGTCTTACCAATATATGCTACAATACCAACACCCCCTCAACTTTCCCTCACCAAAGTGAATTTGAAAAATTAAAAATACTATCTCAATTTGATTTAATATTTTCAACGGTTTCTTTTGTAAATCATCTGTTTACATCTTGTGCAAAACTGTTTATAATCTAAACCTCAATTCATTAACATATAGTGTCATACAACTTAGTGAAAATTAAAATTTACATCCTTCAAATTAGGATAAAATCAAGCCAAGAAATACACCCACACCCAAACTGAAAGAACTGGAACTTGAAGTTTTACTTACTCTTAAGTGAGTTGGTAAAGAGAGACCCTGGAATCTTCGTACAAGACTTGGTTGCGTGGTTTGAAGATTGTGAACCGCTGAGATTTCATACTGGAAACAAACACTTGTTCTTGGAATAAGAGGGCCCTCATTCACATCAATAAAGTCACCAAATCTGATTTGATTTGAAAAATAAATAAATAAAACCTTGAAATCAAATCATTTCTGATAGTTTGGGAGGAAAAAAATCTATTTATTCTCTTTGTAGCTGGTCTTTAATCAAGAACTGGCTATCTGACTCAAATTAGTCTCTAACAACCCCTGACATATGATCTCAAGTGAAGAGGCCAAAGCCATTAAAAATAAAGTCAACTGAACCTTTTTCTTCATCAGCACTGATATAACTTTAAAGGTTTTTAAGTCACTGAACACACCATGCTGTCAAGTGGATCCAGTATCTAAAACTGCTATGCTAAAACCTCACTACAACTCATTGCAACAAAATTTAAAATTCAATATATAGGACAGATGGTGTCTAGAAGCAAAGAGCAGCTTTCTAGAGGGAAAAAGCTAAATCCAATCCAAGAAAATAAGATGTTGAGGAAACAGATACCGGCTATGAAGTCAACTTTGCATCATGCTTTGTCATGGGACTTGTTCTCTATGGAGAATGTCAACATGAGCAGTGAACCTCTCTCATCTCTGCTCAGAAAGCACAGCTGGTTTAACTTACACATGCAATATAAGTAGTAACTGATCGGTCAGTATCCATATTTCTGTACACACACATGAACTATCATGTCCAATTCATTAACAATGAATATTTTGTGCAATTTCAAAATTAAAATAACTCTCAAATTACAATTTTTATACAATAGTATTTTTAACTCTTGAAATGCAAAAAAATAACAATGAAGAACAGAAATCACAACTGTTCCTGAAGATAATTTAAAGCCTCTAATTCTCACAGTATGAAAACTATGAACAGAGGAACAAAAAATAAGTAAGAGCAACAATATAAAGTACAAAGTTATCTATTTCAGTTGCACACTTCATTTAGGTAACAATAAAGCTAAGCTTTACATGAATTAGAATACAGTTGACTTTTAGAGTTTTTCTTACCTGTGGAGCTTGACTGTTCTCTCAGGGTTCTGAGATGCCTTCTCTTCTATGAAATCTATTTTGTATCTGAAGCATCAAAGATAATAACAATTAAATATACAAAAAGCTGTTTAAAGGTACCTTCTTTCTCTTCCTCTTCAGCCATACTTCTTGAAAGAATGCTCTGTACTTGGAGCCTCTCCTTCTCACTTCTCACCTCCCTTCAAACTGGTCACAGCCCCCGACTCCATCCACTTGTTCTCACCAAAGCCAGTGCTACCGCCTGGTCCTAACCTAATGGATATTTTTGGTCCTTCATTTCCTTATCATTGCTCATCACCACTTCTCAAAGTTTTCTTTTCCACAGGCTTCCAGTACACGCTCTACTATGCATTTTATCTCTATGCCAGTCTTCTCTTTCTCCTCTCTTTCTGTAAAGGTAGTTTTCCTGAGTGTTCTGTTTTAGATCCTCTTTTCACTCTAAGCATTCTCTCTAGGCTAACTCCTTGATTTACACAACTTTAATTACCACTTAAGCATTTATGTCTCCACACCCCTGCCTTTACTCTACATTCCTTCTGAGCCCTATCTACAACCCTTCTGATCACTCACTAGGACATTCTACAAGTACCTTGAACCCAAATGAGCTCATTCATAGTAAAGCCCTTCATAGTAAACCCTAAATGTCATCATTTCAACATGTAATCAGTACTAAGAAAATATTTATAATTAACTCAAGAAAAAGGGCTCCACAGGCACTTACAATTAGAAAATACTACTTTCTGTATCCACTTTGGGAGACTTTACAGTACACAAGTACATTAAAAACTGATTAAATTTGTTAATGCTAGTTTTCTCCAAACTTAGTTGAACACAGTACACCTTTTTCAGGATACCAATGATTGTCTTACAAAAGAGTATTCTGAATTTGAGAAATGACAAGCTAGAGTATGAATCAAGAAAGTTTTTGTGGAGTAACACAAGAATATACATACAATAAACTACTCCTATGAGAATGTGTGATTTCATTTCTAAATACCTAAAGAAACCTAATCCATAACACTTCACAATCTGTGAGTGCATATTTTGGCTTCAGAATATACTTCATAAGTTATGTTTTTCCAGCATAGACTTCCCTTTCTAATTAGCCCTAATTTCCAATTAGAATGATATTAAAATTTACTAGGACTTTCAACTAGTAGAAGAAGGTAAAGTTTTCTGAGCAGCAAAGGGAATTAGGAAGCCAAGAAGGATTTAAAATGTTGACAAAATCCATCAAATGGATAATTTACATACAGAAGACTTAAAACTGGGTATGTAAACATATTGTATCAGCTTCTAAATTGCTTGCACTTTCAATCTTAATTTTTTTTTATTTAGAGAGTGGAAGGATGGGAAGGAAAGATTGCAGAGTCTTTGCTTGTTGCAAAGCAAACAAAGTACCAATTTCTTAATGTGCCTTATCACTTCATAAAGGAAAGAAAAGGAGAAATGATACTGCTATATGGATCTATTTGACCTAACAAATAGAAAAGTAAAACAAAGTGAGAAAATTATCTAATGGTGACAATGTTTTTCTAAGTGAAATAAAATGAGATGAACAAAAGCCAACAGGCTAGGGCAGGAAGAGATCTTGGAGCTGAAAATAAAAAGGTGTCACATTGAACATAAGAATTTTGAAGAGCTAAATTTCTTTCACGGCACATAATTTTGGGAGGTTTAATACTGCTTTGAAGGAAACTAAAACTTACTTGTTGTGCTGAAACATTTCTAATGCCACTTTTGCTTCAACTTCCAAAGTTTCAAATGGAAGATCTTTATAAATTAAAGTATGAGCATCTTTTGTGAAGGAACGCAGATTCTCCTTCAAAATGAAAGCATTAGCCTTAATAACACACTACTTCGAGGTATTTCTCCAAAAATTAGACAAGATTAATCAAAATAAAACCAAAACCAAAATCAATTGTTAGGGGAAAAAATTATTAATTTCCAACAACTGAATATTTGGACCACAGAATACAGGATTAGAAGTTTCTCTCAATTCTATAAATTATAAAACTTATAATTAAGATATCAGCCTCGCCTAATAAAAATCCTCAAAGATAATCTTATAAAAATTTTTAATAAGCTTTTTCTTCAAAATTATACACTCTCATGTTTATTAAAACTATGTTGCAAGTAGAAATGTTAATAAATAAGCAGCAAGACACACACAAAAATGTGTTTATACTATGAATAAAATTAAGTTTTTAAAATAAATGGGAAAAATTATTGTTTACATGATTCAGAAAGTTTCACTAAAAACTATGTCATCACTGGCCCTGCCTAAAATACAGCACACATTCACCTCTCTTAATAAAAATATCAATTTTATACATTTAAAATGATAGATACTACACGGTAATAACGTTTATGAGATTTTTAATTAAAAAGAACTATGATTGAGCCTGGAGCAACAGAGGGAGAACGAGATCCAAGAATGGGAGAAGGAAATGGACTACAGGTCTGTCTGTATGAACTACTACTACCTTCTTTGCCATGAGACCAGAAGATATGAATGGGGCTTGGCTATCATTACTGAATGCTTTGATCATGGACCCAATAGATGGATCTTGGTCAAAAGGAAGAAAAATGTGGGATACACTTCAAGTTGTTATCAAAATCAGACTTACTGGATACACTGAGACTGGAGGAACCCTGAATCTGTTGCCTGGAAACAACCTGAAACATTGGATCAAAACTATCCCATGTAGTCGTTTTTGAGTTAAACCACAATTTAGCTCAATTAATAAAGTCTTCCATGAGCATTCTTTTAAAGAATTGCCTATGTTGAAATCAAACTGACAAAAGTAACTCTAAAGCAAAGGTGAGAACTTCAAGGGGCAGAAATTCTGAAAAAATGGTAGGGAAACAAAATGGGCTGTTGTTGTTATTTGCCATCAAGTTGGACCCAACTCATAGCGACTCCTCTTTGGGTTGCCGAGGCAGTATCACTATGGAAGTAGATTGCCCTATATTCCTTCCGAGGAGTGGCAGGTGGGTTTGAACCTCCAGCCCTCTAGTTAGCAGTCAAGTGCCTTAGGCGCTATAGTACCAGAGAGACAGTGAAAATGATGACACAATGTGAAACTACTGTTGTTGAACTGTACATGTAAAAATTGTTCTTTGGATGTATGTTTTATTGTGTTTATTTTTACCAAAATTGAAAATTTTGAGTTTTTGTACTATAAATCATTACAAAGAAAAGATCAACCACTACTTTGCAAATAACTTTTATATTTATAATAAAATTATTTTCATGAATTTCCTACTAGAATTTTTTGAATGAAATACTTTTTTTCTATTCTTTAAAGGTATAGTTCACTGTGCAACAAATCCACATTCATGATTTAACATATCTGATATTTCAATGTAATTCTCCCCTACTTTTTCTAAGTCATCTACCTACTCCATGGAGTCTGCAATTTGATAGTATATTTCTCAGAAAAAAACTTTTTTAAAAAATAAATAAATAAAGAGGCAGCAAGTGTCATGGATAATGAGAGATGAGTCTTGATTAATTCTCCCAAAGGAAGTAGGAAAACTCACTGCCATCAAGTCAATTCTGACTCACAGCAACCCCCACTGGGTTTCTGAGGTGGTAAATTTTTACGGAAGTAGATTGCCCCATCTTCCTTCCACAGAGCAGCTGGTGGGTTTGAGCTGCCACCTTTCTGGTTAGCAGTCAAATGCCTTAGGCATTGCACCACCAGAGCTCCTTAATAGTGGGAATCTATTCTGAAATTTGAGGACATACCTGGAAAGAAAGAAGCTGTATTTGACAAGAATCCAGGGATCATGAAGAATTACAATCCTTTCCCTGCCCCTTCCCAGACTCTTTCTTCTCCTCTCTTTCTCTCTTCCTTTCTTCCTCTTTCCTTCTTTTCTCCCTCTTGATATTAAATAATATGGGCAGGATTACACAAATAATAATTTCCCAAGCTAGAATCTAACCCTGGACCTCTCCTAACTCCAAAGCCTTTGCTTTTTTAAGAACTATGGTATTTCACTGAATATAAAATGCCAAAAATTTTAAGATTTACCACTAAGAAACAAACACTACAAAGTACAACTATAAGCTGTCATTTACTGTACGATATATCTTGTTTTCAGAGGTACTGAAATGTGGGGGGAGAATGTGTACCATGGAATTGACAAAATGCAATTAGCTGCATTGCCTCCTCTTTTCTGATCACCTGATTTCCTGTCTTTAGGGCATACAGTTTTGCTTAATTCAGACTTTGTTATTGTTGTTATCAGATGTCTGGTGATCTACTTCTAAACAAATCAATTATGCAAAACCCTATGGAGCACAGCTCTATGTGACACATAAGCAGCCACCATGAGTCAGAATTAACCCACAGCAACAAGTTACTAGTATTGTTCCCCAAGTCCCAGGACAGGACCACCCTATATTATGAAGGCAGACCATTAACAAACAAAACTCTTGCTATTTTTTGCTAGTTGAGGGGGCAACTTTATCAGTAGTCTGATTCTATAAAAAGAGAACGCACAGTATGCAACAGAGTAAAATGGTTTAAGCAGTGGTTTTTAAACTATGTCTGGAGGATTCAAGCAGCTACAGCTCCGGGCTCACCACATCAACCAAGATAGCTAAGTATCTATATGTTAGGTTCTAGGTATGTTTAATCATATCTGAAAACTACTATCTTAAGGAACAATAAAAAAGAAAAAGGTACTTAAAGAAAAACTCAAGCATCAAGACAGCTGACCATGCTATTGCGAATGTCCTCATTCATGTGCCTTTGTCTTAATTGTACTGAAAAAGTAACAAAATATATTCTTTTAAATTTATCCTCAATATCCATTACAATCCAACAATATCAACACAGGGATCATTCTAACAGAAAGGCACAGATTCTAAAATTAATACTCCAAACAATTAAAGGGCTTACTTTCGTTGGCACCCATTCATCGAGTCTCTTATCCAAAACTACATCATAGCAGAAGGCTCCAGCAATTACTGTAAATCCAACAACAAGAAAGGATTAACAATCTCTCCCAACTCTACCAATTATAAAACTGCTATACCATCATCCAGCTGCTTGCCACAAAAAAAAAAAATTAACTCACCTTTTGTTAACCAAGAATCAGTGATATATTGTAAAACCCTCAAGTTTTCTTCAAGAATACTAACAGTATAGGGATTTCAAGTATTTGCTAGATAAAGCAATTCCAAAAGAACAAGATATAGTAGTCCCCCCTTATCCATGATTTCACTTCCCACAATTTCAGTTACCTGTGGTCAAACATGAGTAACTGAAGATAGTAAATGGAAAATACCAGAAAGAAACAATTTCTAAGTTTTAAATTCCATGAAATTCTGAGTAGTGCAATGAAATCTTGTGCCAGCCTGCACCATCCCACCCAGGACATGAATCATCCCTCTGTCCAGCACATCCACACTGCACATGCTATTTGACCATCAGTCACTGAGTAGCCTTCCTGGTTATTGGATCGACTGTCATGGTATTTCAGTGCTTGTGTTAAGTAACCCTTATTTTATTTAATAATGATTTTATTTAATAAGTGCAAGAATAGTGATGTTGGAAATTTGGATATGACAAAAAGAAGTCATAAAGTGCTTTATTTAAGTGAATTGGTGAAAGTTTTCAACTTAAAAGAATAAATATCATATGCTAAGGTTGCTAAGGTGCTTGACTGCTAACCAGAAGGCTAGCAGTTCAAATCCACTAGCCACTCCTCAAAAGGAAGGTTGGGCAATCTACTTCCATAGTGATACTGCCTCGGAAACCCAAGAAGGGGTCACTATGAGTCGGGTCTGACTCTACGGCACATAACAACAAGAACAAGGTTGCTAAGATCACATTCACCTAAGTTTTATTACAGTATGTCAGTATAATAGTTCTATTTTATTACTAGTTATTGTTGTTAATCTCTTACTGTGCCTAATTTATAAATTAAACTTTATCATAGGTAGAATATGTATAGGATAAACCACAGTATATACAGAGTCTGATATTATGCTTGGTTTCAGGCATCCATTGGGGTTCCTGTGACATATCCTCCATGGACCCTCCTTGGGTTTCTGAGGCAGTATCACTACGGAAGTAGACTGCCCAACCTTCCTTCTGAGGAGTGGCTAGTGGGTTTGAACCGCAGCCTTCTGGTTAGCAGTCAGATGCCTTAGGTACTATGCTACCAGATAATGTTAATATGAACTATCAACCAGAACATGGAAAAGAGTCTGTATCCTTGCAACTCCCTAATTCCAGATGTGCCCATTTCCAGAGTCATGGTTATTTCTGGTAAAAAGGCACCAGCTCTTTCCAGAAGCCTACTAACTGCCAGTTTCTCTTTCTTCACATAATCAATTTGGAAACAAATGCTTAAAGTGGTAAGAAACAGTGAGAGAGTGTAATCCATGAAATCCATATTCAAGAGAAACATTCTTCACTAATTACTGACATCTAAACATTACCTCAGGAGCTCCAGTAGCATAGTGCCTAAGGCACTTGACTGCTAACCAGAAGGCTGGCGGTTCAAACCCACCAGCCATTCCTCGGAAGGAAGGTTGGGCAATCTACTTCCATAGTGATACTGCCTCGGAAACCCAAGGAGGGGTCGCTATGAGTCAGGTCCAACTCAACAGCACATAACAAGAAGAACAACAAACATTACCTCACATTACAGCACAACAGGATGGATTTAGTTACCCATAATAAATGGAATATACTTATGACAGTAATTTATATTAGCTCATTTACAAACGAACTGTACATCATCAGAAATAAGCATCAAAAATTTCAAGGTTTATGAAAGGAATATATGTATTTATGTACATTACCAGGAACTTCTGGAGCTCTGACCAAACTGATCATGTACTCATCTTTGAATGCCCGCTCTATTACACATCCCATCAGCATGGCACAAGAGCGCCAATAAGCCTAGGGGAAAGAATATAACATACAAACATAATAAACACTAAGATTCACTAGTTTCTACAATATTATAATCTAGATCAACTTTGACTTAGGAAATATTTCTCAAATATCTGCTCATTCTTGGCCTACAGTAACAGTTACCCTCATGCCATGGCATTACTTCTACTTTTATTCATCAAAGCTAAATCCACAAAAGAATGAAGAACCAGGTTCATGTTTCTGGCATATTTCTGTACAATGTATCAGATACTATAACGGCTATCAACCTATAAAAAGTTTTACTATCCATTAGTAATTTTATTTTTAAATCCATGACAGTTGATTTGTTAATAAATTTATGCTAAAACAATATATTAATTTATAGTAAATAAGTATACATTAATGTACACCTACTTATACTATATGTAAAAAGCAAAAAATATTTTTTTTAATTATTTGTAATGACTCCTATCCTATACATAACATCCGTAAGACAGCGCTCAAGTTTCTCACATTTATAGCAAAGCAACACTACCATCAACTAGGATTTCATTTTACTGGCAAATTTGGATTCGTGAATATGCCAAATACAGATATCCATGTAATTACCTTATCTGAATCTAAAGAAAAACAGGAAAACTGCATCATACTTGCCCATCTTCTTCTATTCCGTGGCAATATACTACTGGGTGCTTTTTTACCCTAAGTCCTTCTCCACATCTGAGGACCACAAAAGTGGGGTTGCCTGGCTGTATAACAAGGCTTGCTACACAAACTAAAAATAAGTACAAACTCAGATTTGAAGTTAAGTTGCAAAATGTACTTTTTCATCAACCCTACTTCAATGTTTTTAAATGCCCTTAGCATTGAACTCTAGAGTCAAAATACCTAGGTTTAAACCCAGACTCCACATATTAATACTTACTAAACCAGTTGCTCTGGTCAAACTGTCTAAATTGTTCTCTAGACAACAGAGGTAACAGCACCAACTTTGTAGGGTTTTTATGAGGATTAAAATCACCAAGAATAGTGTCTGATACATAATACGTGCTTAATTAACTTCTCAGAAGGAAGGTTGGGCAATCTACTTCCGTAGTGATAATGCCTCGGAAACCCAAGGAAGGATTGCTATGAGTCAGGTCCAATTCAACAGCAAATAACAACAATAACATTATTATTAACATTTCTATTCTTTTATTGTTTAAATATTTCATTTCAACAAATGTTTATTAAGCATTTATTATGTGGAATTCAAGGACAAGGTCCAATAAGGGACATGGACCCCGTCTTCACAGAGCCAAGAATTAGAGCATTCAACAGTCTATGTGAAAAGCAAAATTAAAATATTTTATCTAAACACTAGCAACGTGTTGTGAGACCCTAAGGAAAAGAAGGATTAATTCTGACAGGAAGAAACTGAGAAAATTTCATATAGCAGATGGCATTTTAATTGAACTGTAAAAGATTAATAGGATTTTAATAGGAGTGGAAAGAAAATACTCAGAATTGAGAGTGTAACATCAACAAAAGCAAGGCAGGTACATAAACCTTTAGTGACCAAATAGTATATCCAGAAAAAGAGGAAATGGAAAAAAAAACAATAGGAGGAAAAGCTGAAATGGCAGGCTGGGACCATATTAAATGGGGCTGGCAAGTTTTATGAACATTTAAGGTAGGCAAGTTTTTTTAGGGGAAAGTGGTATGATCCAAGTATGTCAGTTACTAAAAATTACATAAGACTATGAAAGAAGACTAAGTATTAAAAAACGAGGTAGAGGGCAGAGAAAGTTAAAAAGTTACAGAAGTGAACCAGAGAAGACTGTCAGAACTGAATTCAAGCAGCAGCAATGAGAATGAAATCACTTACAATACAAAGAATGATCAGTAAATGTAGGTTGAACAAAGATATGAATATAAAAAAATGTGTCATATAATTTTCTCAAATCAAAATACAAAGACATGGATGCACTGTTATTTTAGAACTATGGAAATGCCTAATCTAGCAAAGAAAACCTGGACTAGCTAGTACAGTATAACATTTGACCATTGGCTGTAATTTAACATTTCACATGTCACAGAAAATAAGCTTTAAAAAAAAAGGAGAAGTCTAAAACTAGGAGGATAGATAGAGACAGAAATACCTTATTTACATCTCTCGGATCTTGATCTTTGAAAGTAAGAAATTTAATTTGACAGGATTTGGTCAAAGGCTTGTACATGTCCCAAGGCTGTCCATCCACAAGAGCCAAAATGGACTTCCTGCAGTACCACTCACTTAAATCTAAAAGTTTAAAATAGATTAATAATTTAAATTTGATAAAACCCATAGTGAAATGTTATACATTTAAGTACTACATTAATAAATAAAACAATGGAAAGGTAAGATTTTGCAAGTTGTCTCTTTGGAGAAAAATGTATTAAATGTATCAAGAAAAATTAGTGTCCAACACACCCAAATATTCTTAATCATTACCAAAATTACACAAAACATTTACAAAATTATGAGTCTAACTGTAAATTAACTTGTCAATGATTAAGAAAATTATTTTCTAAGAGATATATTTAAATATTCAGCTACATCATAGATATATTTGGATATATATAGAGAGAGAGAGAAAGAAGGGAAAATACAGTAATATGCACCCACGATAAATCTGTTCTATATGGGATTTAGGAGCTCTGGTGGCGTAGTGCCTAAGGCATGTCACTGCTAACCAGAAGGCTGGCGGTTCAAACCCACCAGCTACTCCTCAGAAGGAAGTTTGGGCAATCTACTTCCATAGTGATACCACCTCGGAAACCCAAGGAGTGGTCGCTATGAGTCAGATCCAACTCAATGGCAGTGAGTTATATGGGGATTTAGGGAACTCTGGTAGTGCAGTGGTTAAACCATTCAGCTGCTAACCAAAAGGTCATCAGTTCAAACCCACCAGCCATTCCTCAGGAAATAGATGAGGCTGTTTGCTTCCATAAAGATTTAACCCTTAAAAACCCTGTGGGGAGGCTCTACTCTGCCCTGTAGAGTCAGGATGAATTGAAATCAACTTGATGGCAGTGGGTTTGGTTTTTGGTTTTATGCTTTTCTACTAAACCACATCTTACTTCTCTAGGTTAAATACTGTAGTTATCATTTTTTTAATTATTAATATGAATTCACATATAAGTCAATCAGCTCTCATCTGTTCTAGGAACCAAAAATGAAATTACAATCTTGATTAGATGTTCTGTGAATACACATCTAGTCACAAAAGTGGTTAAACTACAAGGTCTAAATTATCAGCCACTACATAACTTCCATAAGTTCCATAAAGGCAGGAGTCATGTCTGCTTTTGCTCACTTATCAATATATCCAGAGCCTAGCAATGGGCCTGGAATATACTAGGCACTCAGTAAAAGGTTACTCAGTGACTGGAAGTATGAGTGGCAAAACTCAAGAGCAGGGTCATACTAGAGATGGTTTAGGTGCTTCATCTCTACATGTGATGAGTTCAAAGTTCCTCAAGGGCCTGAGTCTTGTGCTAGCCTCCTCTGTAATACTAATGCCTATCACACAGCATAGGTTCAATAAATGCTCATGAAACAAATGAAAAAACAATTACCATAGATACTAATTCAAGTGCTGGAGTAAAAGAAGACTAAGAGTGTACTCTCCGTAAACCAGCTTAAATTAGTAACTAAAGCTGTTACTTAAATTGCTGAGTTTTCCAAGTTAAAACAATGCAGCTAGTTGGGTGCACATGCATGTATATCTATGCTGTGCTCTATTTTGGGGGGCTTTCCAAATTCAAATATTACCTGTCCTATAAAAGCTACTATACAAACATTCCGATCAAAGCTAGTATATAGTGTACATACATTCACCGGAATAGTACACAACTACAAAAAATGAGGAGACTGTGAATCATATTTTAACAGAGACCAATCTGGAGGTTATGCTTAGGGAAATAGGTCAATCACAAAAGGGCAAATATTATATGGCCCCACTTTTATAAAAAGTCATTAACAGACATACACACAGAAAGCAACTTTCTTTGATGTTTACCAGGGATGAGAAGGGGTGTGAGGGAGGATCACTTTCTAGATCTTGCTATCTGGGAAGATGAGAAAGGAAATACCCAATATGTGACCAAAGTAAATGAAGACATTAAGAGGTATGCAAAAATAAAGGACAATTTTGGTAAATACTATTACATAATACAATTTTGTAACAACAGTAATAATGAAAAAATATGTGTGTGGTTACATAGATAGATATGCATGCACACATGTATAAAGGAAAGCATATGTGATGATATGCATATGCATCTATAGGTGTCTGTGTAGGTATATGTATATATATGTTTGTGTGAGCTGCACACATACTCATACATATAATAAAGCACATATAGGCACAGTTACAGAGACACATATCCAAACACCTTGTGAGATTAGTTTACTGGGTTAAAGAGCTTGGCACCATAGTCTCATGGGACAACTCCGAAAACTAGCTAACATAGTTCATAAAGATAATGTTCTGTTTCCTAGTGTGGTAAGTAGTGTCTGAGATCTTAAAAGCTTGTGGGTGGCCATCTAAGATACAACTGTTGGTCTCTTACACATCTGGGGCAAAAGAGAATGAAGGAAACCAAAGATTCAAAGAATAAACTAGGCCACAGGACTACACCTAGTCCTCACTTACTATCTCATTATCTGACATTTCACATTTACAACAATAGCAAAAAATCTACTCTCCAACTATTTTGAGCATTAATGATATACATTACATTATACAATGATATATATTACATTAATGATATACATTGCTGAGGGGCAAGGCATGAGTAACATTGGCTTTGATGGTTAAGATTATGTGTCAATTTGGCTGGGCCATGATTCTCAGTAGGATATAATGTGGCAGTTTTGTAAAGATGTAATTTGGCAGTTATGTAATGACATAGTCATCCTCCATTGTGTGATGTGATGTACTCACCCTCTACTTTCATGTAATGCCAATTTTTGCATAATGGCCTGGTCTTTGGAACCTAACTATACCAGTAAGTGAGGACTAAGTATAGTTGCCCACATGAAACACAACGTCACTAGCCTGAGACCAGAAAAACTAGATGGTAGCCAGCTACCACTACTAATCATTCTGATGAGAGACACAACAGAAGGTGTCAGATAGAGCAGGAGAAAATGCAGAACAAAACTCAAATTCCTAAAAAGCCCAGACCTACAGGACAGATAGGCACTACAGGAAGCCCTAAGGCTATCACCCCAACGTACCTTTTTAACTTGGAACTGAAGCCCTCTGAGGTCACTTTTCAGTGAAATAATAGACTGGCTTATAAAATAAATAATATCACCTGTGAGGAATGTGCTTCTTTAAACAATTAACTATGTGATACCAAACTGTCAACATTTACCCAAAAGCAAAAATGAGAAGGCAAGGAAGGGCAGGGAAGCTAGATTAATGGAAACAGAACAAACAGAATGGAAATAATGAGACTGTTGACACATTCTGAAATTGAAACCACTGTCACTGGAACAATTTGTAAAAAAAAAAAAAAAACTGTTAAATGGATACCTAGTTTGCTATGTAAACTTTCACCTAAAATACAACAAAATATTTTTTTAAAACAAAAGTTACATAGAGAGACCCTGTTTCCTTTATCTCCACACTACATCTCACACAGGGCAGTGACTTTCCTTAAGATATAAATAGAAACAAATATTTTTACCCTAATCACAATCACCCCATACACATTTCCACTCACATATTTGCCATGTTGTTGTTGTCGTTATGTGCCATCAAGTCGGCCCCAACTCATAGCGACCCCTCCTTGGGTTGCCGACGCAGTATCACTATGGAAGTAGATTGCCCAACCTTCCTTCCGAGGAGTGGCTGGTGGGTTTGAACCGCCAGGCTTCTGGTTAGCAATATTTGCCATGTGCACACATAAATGTTAACAAATCTTTACAACAAAGAGGCAGATGGCAAGCTTTAGATCTTTCTTCAGATATAAATTAGGCTATAAAGAGCTAGCAAGCAGAAAAAGAACAAAAAAAAAGCAAAAAGGCCAGGGCAAAGTCCCTTTATCCAAAATGCTTTAATGAGAGACCTACATGATGACTGCTTCCATCTCATCAGAAAGGACCATGTATTTAGTAACAGTATATTTAGGTCCACCTTTCTTTTGCCAGAACAATTATGACTCCCTAAACTTAGGAGCTCTGGTGATAGCAGAGCTTAAAGCATTCAGTTGTTAACCAAAAGGCCGGCAGTTCAAATCCACCAGCCGTTCCACAGGAGAATGAGGCAGTCTGCTTCCATAAAAATTTACAGCCTTGGAAACCCTATGGGGCTGCTCTACTCTGTCCTATAGGGTCGCTGTGAGTTGGCATCAACTCCACAACAGTGGGTTTGGTTTAACTTTAGCCAGATTCAAGCAAGTTTCAAGACAATCTTTGCCCAATAGTACACCAACTTTTCAAGATCCATATTACTCCCAAAAGCTAAAGGAACAGTGAACAAAGATACCAAATAAGAGAGAACTTCGGAAAAGTCCAGAAAGCAATTACAGTACATCTTCTCTGTACCAGTTCCTGGGCCCCAGCCCATGTAAAATGGTCAAAACTGATATTTTGATTCCATTACTTACGCATAGCACAATTGTAAGGAGTTGAAATGTTTTTATTCATCACAAAGACAGTGCCAGGGTCAGTTTTCCCAACATGCTTCACTTCAATCTTCTCAGTTCGAGGAGTTAATGATAACTGCCTGCTTTTCTCTTTATTAAATAGTTCATTCCGCATTTCCGTCAGTTCGGTAGGTGACAGCTGAGGAGCTGGTGATGTTGCTATAAATTCTGTGGAGAAATTATAATGAATATGAAAACCTGAATAAATGAAGGATACACTGTCAATACCCATACTCCATCCTACTCCTGAATTGCCATTTGTGGTACAACCAGTTAACCCCCTAGGGTGCTAATAGAAAAGTTAGAGGTTCAAGTCCAGATGCACCTTGGAAGAAAGGCCTGGTAACCTACTTACAAGTCAGCCACGGTAAACCCTAAAGAGCACAGTTCTACTCTGACACACATGGGGTTACCATGAGTCAGAGCCTACTATTACATAACTGGTTACTGGTTATAAAAAAGAAAGGAGGCCACAGAACTCCAAGTTTACCAAAAAGCCTCTCAGAGGTAAACTTAAATCATTTCCTAACACTAATAATTGGGAATTCTGGTGGTGTAGTGCCTAAGGCACTTGACTGCTAACCAGAAGGTTGGCAGCCCCTTCTTAAAAGGAAGGTTGAGCAATCTATTTCCATAGTGATACTGCCGCAGAAACCCAAGGAGGGGTTGCTGTGAGTCAGATCCGACTCAATGGCAGTGAGTTTGGTTTTGGTTTAACACTAATAATTAGACAAAACGACAACAGAATAACAATTGGCCCTGATTCGGGCCTCTGCTTTAACTTTCCTCTTTCACCATCAGATCTCTAATCCAGTCAATTTCTTTTGTGTAATCTGTGCTTTACAATGACCAGCAAAAAGTAAACAGGAAGTAAAGTCCAAACTAGGCCAGAGACTTCGGAAAGGTGAGCAAAGTTATCGTCCTGAAAGAGTCTTGAAAATACAAAAGCTCCAGAGACTGAAGGGCCGTATCAAAACTATAAATATCTAGGGTAAGAAATGTTGATCTTATTTTCCAAACCCCAAGCCAGGTAACGTGGTGATAGCAGAGCTTAAAGCATTCAGTTGTTAACCAAAAGGCCGGCAGTTCGAATCCACCAGCTGTTCCACAGGAGAATGAGGCAGTCTGCTTCCTTAAAAATTTACAGCCCTGGAAAGTACAGCGTGTTCCTATCGGAACATAAGGACAATACGTTTGCACGGGGATGTGGATTCCTTGACTAAAAGAGCTCTCGTGGTGCAGTAGTTAAAGCATTTGGCTGCTAACCAAAAAGACCCACGTACTCCGTGGGCGAAAGATGAAGCAGTCTGCTTTCCTAAATATTTACTGCCTTGGACCCTCCATGAGGCAGTTCTATGGGGTCTCTATAAGTCTGAATGGCCTACAAGCCAGTGAGTTGGTTTTGGTTTTGCGGTTTTGAGGGGAGTATCTTGAAAATGGCGCCCCACCCTCCTCCAGTGGTCCCGACCTCACTCCCTGGATCCCCAGGATCTCCTTCCAGACACACTGATGTCTGTCTACTCGTTAGGGTCCCGCGGCTCCCATGAATGGCCTCAGGCCCAATCCGACCCCACACAACCGTCTAGGCCTCGTTCCCTGTCCAAAAGCCGCTGAAACTCACTCCGGCCAGCCCCGCCGCTAGGGGCGACTCGCCAGAGTCGCAGACCCCGGACCCCCAAAATCATTGCTTCCATCGCAGTCGCACTACTTCCGCGCTCTCGTCCTTTACTGTCCTCTTCCCCGGAAACCTGAGCGCGTTTCCTGGGTTCCGTGCATCAGTTCTATTCCTGGCCTGGTGCTCGGGCTGCTAGCTGCCACCAGGCGGCGAGTTGGTGATGCGCTAGGGACGCTAGGGATTAGGGCTCCAAGGTCTAGGGTTACTCAGCAGGGGCGCTTGTAATGAGGAGCCTTGCAAGACGTAGAGACGCTATTGCTGTCAAAGTCAGCCCCGCTGGCCACGCCTTTGGTATCTGCTACCTCCTGGCTTAACTCAGTGTGCAGTGCTGGGTTCGTAGATAAATAAACTGGAGTGAGTCTGCATCCAGGAACGCCATTTAATTGTCCGTACTATTGTGGACCTAGAAACTCGACATGTTGACATTAGGGGGAACTTTGTAATACCTAGAGGACTTTACAAAGTATATAGTATATGGAGAGCAGATTAAAAGTCATCCCTGGGCAGAAATTTTGTCTCTTGTTCACTGATCACTTCCAAGCACCGAGAACATGTGTGACACATAGTAGGCACTCAACAGATTTTTGTTGAATGAATGAATGAAAGAACTTCCAAAAAGCTTGAGAACAGTGTCTAATTCATTTGTACCAGAATATTACTGATATTTGAAATAAGCATTCCATAAGTTAAAAACAAAAACAAAACTTGTTGCTGTGGAGTAGATTCCTACTAATTGTGAATCTGTAGGACAGAGTAGAACTGCCTTATAGGCCTTCCAATCTATACTGTAATCTATACTGACGTATATACTGATATATCATTAATATCACAAGCAAGTAAAATTTTCCTGAAGATAATTCAAAAACAATTGCAGCAGTACATTGACAAGGAACTGCCAGAATTTCAAGCTGGACTGGAAAGACGACATGGAACGAGGGATATCAATGCTGATGTCAAATGGATCTTGTCTGAAAGCAGAGAATACCAGAAAGATGTTTGCCTGTGTTTTATTGACTATGAAAAGGCATTCCACTGCATGGGTCATAACAAATTATGGATAACATTGTGAAGAATGAAAATTCCAGAACACTTAATTGTGCTCATTAGGAACCTGTACATAGATGAAGAGGCAGTCATTCAAACAGAATAAGGGGATGCTTCATGGTCTCAAATCAGGAAAAGTGTGTGCCAGCTTTGCATCTTTTCCCGTACTTATTCAGTATGTATGCTGAGCAAATAGTCCAAAAAGCTGGACTATATGAAGAAGAATGCATTATCAGGATTAGAGGAAGACTCATTAACAACTTGTCATATGGAGATGACACAATCTTGCTCACTGAAAGTGAAGAGGTCTTAAGACACTTATAGATGAAATTGTGACTACAGTCTTCAGAATAAATTAAAGCTTAACATAAAGAAAACAAAAACCCTCACACCTGGACCAATAAGCAACAACATCATGATAAACAGAAAATAGTGAAGTGTTGAGGATTTCACTTTACTTAGATCCACAATAAACACTCTTGGAAGCAGCAGTCAAGAAATCAAATTACATTGAGTTGGACAAATCTGCTGCAAAAAAACTCTTTAAAGTATTAAAAAGATGTCACCTTGAGAATATCAACACGGTATTTCCAGTCATCCTATATGCATGTGAAAGCTGCACTAGGAATAAGGAAGATGGAAGAAAAATTGATGCCTTTGAATTATGGTGTTGATGAAGAATGTGAATGTACGATGGACTTCCAGAAGAATGAGCAAATCTGTCTTAGAAGAAATATAGTCAGATGCCTCTGAGGAGCAAGGATAGTGAGATTTCGTCTCACACACTTTGGACGTGTTATCAGGAGGGACCGGTCCCTGGAGAACGGCTTCACACTTGGTAGAGCAGAGGGTCAACGAAACAGAGAAACATCTTCAACGAGATGGACTGACACAGTGGCTGCAACAATGGACTCAAGTATAGCAACGATTCAGAGGATGGGTCAGGACCAGACACTGTTTTGTTCTGTTGTACATAGGACAGCTGTGGGTTGGAACTGACTTGAAGGCACCTAACAACAAAATCTAGAAGCTCTGCTAGCATAGTGCCTAAAGCACTTGACTGCTAACCAGAAGGCTGTCGATTCAAACCCACCAGCCACTCCTTGGAAGGAAGGTTGGGCAATCTACTTCCGTAGTGATACCGCCTCAGAAACCCAAGGAGGGGTCGCTATGAGTCTGGTCTGACTCGATAGCGTATAATAACAACAACAACAAAAAAAATCTGTTCTGAAGTAAATCAGACTGCCACATCTTTCTCTGAGAGTGGCTGGTGGGATCAACCTGCAGACCTTTCCATTAACAGCCCAGTGCTTCACCACTGCGTCACTAGGGCTCCTATTTCATAGGAAGGGTATGGAATTTTGTTGTTGTTTGTTCAGTTATTTGATGCTGCGGCTTTATTTAATGAATGTATGTTTACAAATTCAGCCCTCAGCCTTTTTGCCCTCTGCTCTTTAACTTGCAATGGGAATATACCGCCACCAGGTGGAATTGTTGGCTAAGGTACTAATTCTATGATGCGAGGTCTCACCACTATTGATCTGTCTCCTTGGTCTAGATTTTACCTTCATAACAACTTTGCAGAGTGTGGTGGAGTATCTTCACTTTTAAAATGAGAAATATAATGAAGTGGCAGATATTGGTTTTAAACCCACATTGCATTTTACTTGACCACCTTTTAAGATCTTAACTGAGACCAGAAAATGTATATACACCCAGTCCTCACTTATTGACAGTTAGGTTCCAAAGACTAGGTCCTCATGGGAAAATTGTACTAACACAAAAATTACATCACTTCCTTACCTGCTGCCTTCTCCAGCCTTCCTGCAGACTATGTCTTTGATGATGCTCAGGTGGAGGTGGCAGAAGAGGATCCTGCAGGCCGCCAACTACTGTAGGGCTTAGGTTTCCAACTTTCCTGGGTTCATAGTGCTGCTTCTGCTCCCCCAACCCTTACATCCTATATCCTCTGCCCTAAAGTTACTACCTCCTCCTCTGTCTGTGCCTCTGGATACTTACCACTGGGGAGGTGGCCTTCTTCTCCCTGGGGCCCTTTCATTCCAGATATGTTTACTGGACAGCCCAAACCACCTGTTGCTCCTGTACCCCTGCAACCAATTCACTATATGCACCTCTAGGCACTCCCCTCCCCCCCAGGATCCTGGGGCCCTCTCCACCAGCTCAGGTCCAAGCAGGGGCCACTCCCAGGACAAGCACCTCTGGGCTGCGGTGCCCACAGCTCTCCCAAGATGGCTCCCCTTGTTCCCCAGAATTTTATAGCTCTTCGTGGCGCTCCTAGGAGACAGGAGACATCCCCAAACTCCGGCAGCTACTGCAGCAGCTGTAGGAGCCTGCTTGGGATTTTCTTTCCTGCACTCTTTTTTTTTTTTTTTAATGCATTTTATTGAAATATAATTTATGTACAGTGAAATACACTAACTTGACATGGGTCGATGCATTTTTTTTTTTTTTTTTTTTTTTTTTTTTGCAGTGTTCCCTTCCCTTCCCTCCCATCCCTGGCAACCAACAAAGAAAGTTTCCCTCCATATATAAACCTTTCTTTGGCCCTCCACAACAATGAACTAATACTGTATTTGTTCTTTTGTGATTGACTTATGTCACTCAGCATAATGTCCTCCAAATTCATCCATATTATGCAGTGTTTTGCAGACTCCACATTATTCTTTAGTGCTACATAGCATTCCATTATGTGTATGTACCATAGTTTGGCCATTCACTCTTCTGCTATAAATCTTGGAGATAAGTCCCTTGCCAGATATGTAATTATCGGCAAATAGGAACTTGTTGCTGTCATTTTTGTTATGTGCTTTTTCATGGTGTCAATTTCTTTGTTCCATATAATTTTCTATGCTGAGCTCGTTTTGTTTATAAATCATGTGTCACTTCCTTCATTGCTATTATTTTACTATTTGCTGAATATTTATGCTGGTCCTGTTTTTTGATGTGAAGGTTTATCATTTTTCTTTGAGGTTACCCTGTGATTTATAATTTTCTTCCCAAGTTTAGAACAGCCCTTTCTACGTTGTAGCTGTCTTGACTTCCCTACTCTCTAGAAGTTCTGTAACGACATAGTTTTTTTCCCTCTTTTTGGTTTGTAGTTGTCCTCATTTGTCAATTGATGTCTCTGGTCTACCATCCCATTTTCTTCTTTCCTGCATGGTTTCTGTTGAGAAATCTGAGCTTAGTCTTATTGGTTGCCCCTTGTAGGTAACTTTTCATTTTTCCCATGATGCTGTCATGATTCTTTCTTTGTCTTTGGTTTTGGTAACTTTGATGATGATAGGTCTGGGTGATTTTCTTTTGGAGTCTATCCTGTTTGGGGTTTGTTGGACTTCCTGAATGAATGTATTCTCATCTTTCATCATACCAGGAAAATTCTCTTCCAACAAATCTTCGACAATTTTCTCTGTGGTTTTATTTGTCTCTTCCAGTTCTGGAATTCCAATTACATGTAGGTAATTCCTTTTGATGGTATTCCACATGAACCTTAGGCTTTCTTCATTTTGTTTTGATCTTTTTTCTGATTGATCCCTTTCCAAAGAAGTATTCAGGTATTTGCCTTCAATCTCACCAATTCTGTCTTCCATCGATTCAATTCTGCTTCTTTGCTCATTCAATGTCTTATCTATTTCTGAGAATTTAGGATTGATCTTCTGGATTTCTTTGTGTAGATTTTGTATCATTTCTAATTTTTCATTTATTTTGTCATTTTGTTCTTGCATTGTCTTTCACAATTGTTCTAGGGTTTTCTCTGTGTTTTCCTTGATCTGTCCCTCAATTCGTTGAAGATACCTAATATAATTCTTTTGAGTACCTTATCAGGGAGTTCCAATGCTGTGTTTTCCTCAGGGATGAGTTTTGGGTCTGTATCCTGGTCTCTTGTTTCTCCTGCTTTATCTTCTTTGTGTGGACTGTGATGTTCTGTTGTCTCTGAGGCATTGTGACATTTTTGTG